TTTTATGCATAAAATACACGGAATTGGCAAATCATGAAATATTCTTGCAAAGAAAACAAAATTTGTGCTTGGATGTAGCAAAAAATTTCGAGTGAGGAAAATCGCTCCTTAAATAAACGACGGTCCTGAGAAAATGATCCGGTCGTCTGCTGTGACGCATTCAAAATGGCGACGAGTGATGAAGTGCCGGTAGAAATCAAGCAGAGTCGCGTGTGTACCACGGAGAATTCGGTGAGTTTTATGGGATGAGTTACTCTAATAAAGTAATAGGAAGCCCGATCTTTAATGAGATATTGCCGAAGCGACGATATAATTTGAGAATGGTAGAGTTGTATCGAGATACAAAACAGTAAGAATATCAGGTTCATAATATATAGTCATCTCGCGTCTCGTGCAATAGTAGGCACCTGAGGTTCTACTCCTCTCGGACATGCTTGTATGAGAATTGGCTTTCCGTGAGGCAATTTCTTGGACGGTATCACACGAGTACGGGACATCGAAATATCCTTAGCTGTGGATACGCAGTTATCGTGACGCAAAAGATTCGTGGCTTCTCAGTGAACGTTATATATAGAACGACGGAAACGATATAGCAATATAGTGGAATACAGCGCGTGCAAACAGGATATCGACTGGCCATTCTCGATTTCGAAGGGGACGCCATTGTTTTGGCGGGCACGTGCATTTTATTGCCGGCGCGAGGATTTCACTGGCTTAAACTCTGTGCTATTCGCACTTATGAACAACATTGTAAATTTACTATTTCAGTATCATATTAATTTTTCTAATTTTGTAATAATCATTTTGGCATACCCCTTTCTTTTTTTTCTCATGTATTTTGTATGCTTATATAGATAGATTGTTAATGAAAATTATATCTATATCTATTTTTTTATGTGACTGAACTTCAATGAATATTTTATGGTCATATTTAATTGTGACCATAATTTTATAGTTAAGATTTACAAGCGTGTGTAAAAAGATTTAAAAAAAATATATATAAATAGTTTAGATCAGATGTCATTCAATTTCTAATATATAATATAAATATGTTGCAGACCTCCAAAATGGAATCCATGGAAATAACAGCAGAGCCTACTACCATGAATAAAGATAGTACATCATCCTGCAGGGAATCTGTATCCGTCGATGATATGACCTCGAGGGATTACTATTTTGATTCTTATGCCCACTATGGGATACACGAAGAAATGTTGAAAGATGAAGTTCGCACTGTGACTTATCGTAACTCAATGTATCATAACAAACATCTCTTCAAAGGGAAAACAGTCCTTGATATTGGCTGTGGTACTGGTATTCTTTCCATGTTTGCGGCTAAAGCTGGTGCAGCCAAAGTCATTGGCATCGAGTGCTCTAATATTGTTGAATATGCAGAGAAGATAGTAGAAGCAAATAACCTATCTAACATTATAACGATACTTAAAGGAAAAGTTGAAGAAGTTTCATTACCTGATGGTATAGAAAAAGTTGATATAATAATATCCGAGTGGATGGGTTATTGTTTGTTTTATGAATCAATGTTAGATACAGTGCTCTTCGCTAGGGATAAGTGGCTTCGTGAAGATGGTATGCTTTTCCCTGATAAAGCAACTTTATTCATTTGTGGGATTGAAGACAGACAATATAAGGATGAGAAGATCAATTGGTGGGACGACGTATATGGATTTGATATGAGCAGCATAAGAAAAGTAGCCATTAGCGAACCGCTAGTAGATGTTGTCGACCCAAAACAAGTTGTTACTAATGCATGCCTAATCAAAGAAGTTGATCTTTATACAGTTACGAAGGCTGATCTCGAGTTTTCATCACCATTTACTCTTCAAGTCCGCAGAAATGACTACGTCCAAGCTTTAGTTACATTCTTTAACATCGAATTCACCAAGTGCCACAAACGTATTGGCTTCAGTACTGCACCAGAAGTGCCATACACGCATTGGAAGCAAACTGTCTTTTATTTCGACGAATACATGACAGTAAAGAAGGGAGAAGAGATATATGGCGTATTCTCAATGAGGCCCAATGCCAGAAATTACAGGGATCTGGATTTCAGCATTGAGTTGGACTTTAAAGGAGAGTTGTGCCAAGTACATGAAACTAATAACTATCGTATGCGCTGATATACAGTGGATTGTTCGCTTTCCACTTTTTTCATAACTCGTAAAAATGTCATTTAATCAAGCCTGAAGCCGATCCTACTTATTATGGAACTATTAATGATTGTGTTTAGCAATACAACATGTATTGTCAACGATATATAAACTGTCAAATTTTTGACAGGTCTTTAATTTTAAAAAGCATGAATGCTTTCTGATTAGATATTTAATATAATGACTTTTATAGACATTCTCTTCTATAAACGTGCAAATATCTGGAATATTAATTATATTTATAATATTAAATTCAAATAAAGAATGACAAGATATTGTAATAAAAAAACGCGAATTTTCGCGCACAACTAAAAGCACATTTATCTATCAATTTATAAAAAAAGTCTTCGAATGTTGAGCGAGAGTTTTTGGTAATATCCTATTGTAATTGTATTAAAGGATATTACTTGTAATATCTTTGATGTATACAATAAAATATATAATTGTGCGCCAAAATTCTCTCATTCTTTTTAATATTATTGGACTTGTTTTTATATAGTGTAATTTCATCAAAAAACACTTAAAAATCGGAATTTTAATTTGATAAAAATTTTTGCATTGTCTTCTTTCATTATTACCTCTAATTAAGCTTATTTAAGCTTATTTACTAATAAGCTTATTTATTGCTTATTTGTCAATAAATGATGTTTAGAACAGATCTAAAAAATACTATTTTCTGCATATGCTCTGTATGTAAATGATGTAAACGAATTTAAAAGTAAAAATGTTTAAACAAATAATTACAATTATAACATCACTTTAATGATTGCTTTCGTACACTTAGTAGCTATTTCAATCATTAATCATGAAGAAGTAGGCTGAGCGTGAAGTATTTCGGTTTTTTTTTATGTAAATAGGTATCATCATGTCGCTATACCTTTTAAACAATTGGCTAACTTTTGTGTTTTATAATCAGTCCTTAATTGAATAAAATTAAGTAAAACCGTACGATCGAGTGTCATCTGCAATCATAAAAGATGATATATACATTTTTAAAAACATCTGTACATATACACGTAAATATGTATAAATTCTGTTTTTTGAATACAATGTAATTTTATAACGTACCAGTTGGTCTCCTGTGCAAACTTGTTTCAGATTTTCTGGTTTAACCAATAGTAAATTGCATAAAGCATGCAGAGTATTAAAGAGATTTGTAACAAACTCAACGTCAAGTTCCTTAATGCATTTGCGATATTCATTCATGTCACATATTGCACACATAGCACCGGCAGAATTAAACTGAAACTGCTGCAAATGATCATAAATAATTTTATGGAATCTAATTCCTAATTCCTTTAAAGCGGTATCTAAATGTCTGCCATCCAAAGTGTTTCGTATTAGCCGTATCATTCCATTCACGAATTGTACTACTACTAAACAGGCTGAGGTATTCACGGTATCCACATCGGTTTCTGGTTTAAAGTCAGTCTTCTTTTGTTCGTTTTGTAGATACACCTTCACCCAACCTACAATAGCATTTATGCTTCTATCCAAGCCAGTGTCCAGTTTGACATCTATTTGTTCTAATATCGCTTTTTTCTTTAATAAACATTCGGCATGTTTGGGTGTTGATCTAGAAAAAATATTTTTTATCTATTATTTAATCGATTTTTTTACAAAAATTTTACTTTTTAATTTTTGTGTAAAAAGAAATATCAAACAAAAAATATACGTACGTGATAAGAGGCAGTACACTGTCGTTGAATTGTTCCTCCAAGAGCCGAACAATCGCGTTGCACTGATGCACTACGTTAAAGAAATGAATCTCTGGTTGGGTCCTACTCTCTGGTATCGGTACACTTTGTAAACCTAAGTCCAACGCGTAATCCACATGCTCGCTTATTAAATATTGTAACAATATTTCGAAGATCTGTAATGCATTTCCAGGTATATCGACAGACTGTGAAAGTAATTGACATCTTTGAAACGCGAGTTTGCTTCTCTGCAGTATCGCGATTGCTAATTCTTCCGATAGAAACGTTTCGCCTCCGTAATCTTCTATTTGAGCAATATTTATATTCGTTCTTGCACCCAATACGGCCTGTAAGTCTCTGCGTAGTTCCTGGAAGCCACCCATTTGCAACTGTTTCTTTTGATGATTTTTTGACTCGTAATACTCTATAAGCAACGTTGCGCACTTCTCCCGGAATGCCTTTGTTTCGATACTAAAATAATAATGAGGAATTACTGTTGTATTGCTTTCAATAGCAAAATTATTCTAAACTTTGCGAACTTACGTAATGTAAGTATCTAAATACTTCTGAAAGATGTTCCTAGTAAGTTTGGCAAGGTAAGTCTCATCAGTGCCCATATTGAAAACCTTCAAATCGTTGGATAACTTAACTGTCCTTGTGTATAAATCATATAAATTCCTGAGATACTTGTCAGAATCGCTTTTGTCGGCTAATTTGGCTACCGCATATTTTTGAAGGCGCAGGTGATATATATTTAGGACAAACTTTGCCATTACTTGTTCAGGATTAGAGAATACTTGTAGCATGAGCTTATGATACTTTGTGCACATAGGTATGACGTCTTGAAAAACGTCTTTCCCACCAAAAGAACCCATTTGACTTTGTTCTATAAATGCATCAATGCACTGAGAGTAACCCTTGAAGTGTGCCAAAGTGCTCGCTAATTCTCTCATTTGCGCAGCATCTTCTCTATTGTGTGCTTTTACAAATTCTTCAATTAAATTACGTTCTATTTCATCATACTTGATAGCAATTTTTTTCTTGGCATGTTCAAATTTCTCAGAGGGAAGTTCTTGAGCTATGAGATGAAGTTTCTGTATTATGTCTGCAGCATTGTTCAACTGTAACAAATAACGAATAAATTTTAATCTCATTACTTACATTATCGTTTAATGATTAATTTATTATTTTTACCGAGGATTTATCTGTGAAAATTGGATCAGTCAGTGGACCAGGACTTAAAAATTCTGAAAAGTGTCTCATTAATTTTTGAGCTTCCACTGCTCTTGCTCTTGGCGTATTAACACTTTCTAATTGATCTCCCAGATGTAGGACTTTAGTAGCCACAAGATTTATTCTCTCATCTAACTGATGAAATAAATCGATAGAATGTCTGTTTCTCTCCTGTAATTCTAATATTTCAAATGTATGTCGAGTTTCTTCTTCTTTTAGCGCAGCCTCTAATTTATCGCATTTCTTTTGCTGACGTTCTTGTAATATCTGTAAGTCTTTGATTGCCTGCAAAAAAGTCTCATGGACGATAACTGGATCAAAAAATGTCTTTCCCCCATCTTTTGTATTATCATTGACAGTTCTCCAAGCTAATCTTTCAACAAATTCTTCAGGGTCAAATGGATCCTGTGAAATAATTATTTTATATTTTAATATATAATATATTAATATATAATATTACAGAGATTTATAAATTAGACGGCATAAAATATTAAATTTATTGAGAAATACCTAATTCTTATAAGATGAATGTTATCATAACAATCAAAATAATTAATATATTAAATTATCAATTACGTAGCAAAATAAATCGCTAAAAAGAAAAAATATATTAAAACCTGTTCCAATTCCTTCATATATTGTTGCATCATTTTGAAAGATTCTGTACTTGTCGAGCAGCATGTAAATAAAGTTAGGTTAGGTTTTAACACTCGATCAATCTAGATGAGCACACAAAAGTTGCGAGAACAGGATGATCATCGCTATTTAATTCATTATAAGTCTATATATATATACATTTTTATTAATTTATTAATTCAATCTTGCAACTCTCGGATTGTGAGAGATGTGTTCCTCCTCTTCAAAGTCTTTAGATATTTTTCCGATCAGTATTGTCAGACCATGTCAGACGAACGTTTTCCGCGCATACGCAACGTAAAGCTATTTTTATTCATCGTGTAACTACTTTTTTAAACATGTTGATTAATTGTACGATAGAAAATTCTGGAAATTAAAAAATTTCCCTATTTTACAGCCAATTAAAAAAAATCACATAAAAAATTTGTTCTAACAAATGAAATATTAACTAAGACCAATATTTGTCTCTTAATGAAAAGTAATGAAAAACACTTTATTATACACTATTCATCTGAGAAATTTATATATAATTTTTTTACATTTGGTGAAAATAAAAATATGGAAGCACTTTTATTATCTAATATTAATTTGCATGTAAATTTAATAATTATATCTATCTAAAAAAGGTGATATATTATGTATGACATTGTCTTTTTACAAGTATTATTCCAGTCTTCATAAATTTCATAAATCATATATATACATATATATTTTGGTTTGCTTGAGATTCTAATTACAATACAAAGTTTTATGAGAAATACAATTGTTCATGTCTCGATTCCTGACATTAGAGTTAATTTGTGAAGTAAAACATATTTTTATACTATATGATTAAGTGCTTTCCATTTAGTAATATAATTCAATCCTTCATTTCTATTTTCACAAGACAATAATTAATTCTAACAGTGATTTTAAAAAAATACAAAAAGCAAACTTAGATCAATTTGTTGAATTATATACAAAATATACCATTTTATGAAAATAAATACTTTAAACATAGCTATACGCGCATACAAATATATCTACAATTAGAATTGTATAAAGCAACTTATACCTCTACACTTATATTCACAAAGTTTATATTTTATAATTTTATATTATAGCTTTTTATTTATCATATTGCACCTATCATCTTAAGCTAACTCATGTCTCTCCCTTTCGATTTTTTCTTGTTAAAAGTCACATAAACGGAAAGCACTCATTCTGGATTCGAAATATGCAACTATCATAAATTATCTGAAAAGTAAGAAATTCAGTAGTTTGATTGAAGCAAATAATTCAAAATCTATGAATAAATATATATAAATGATTTGCACTTTATACAAAAAAATAAAATGTTTTGTAAATAATACTTAAAAGAACAAGAGTAAATGTCATGCAAAAGTCTTTTTTTGACATTCTAATGCGAGTGACAAGTAATATCCGCATCATTTTCATTTCCCGTGTTCTGAATCTCGTCATCAATATCAATGTCGCATATTCTATGGGAATGTACATCCAAAGCTTCAGTACTCGTGGCTGCATCTAACAGTGGTGATAACTTCTCTGCTTCACTATCTTCATCTTGTCCTTGGCTCTATAAGAATGTATTAACATATTTATATTCCAAATAAATATATTTTTATACAATGTAATTATATACAAATAAAAATTGTTTATTGTTAACTCTAATTAATTAAATTCCTGAAATATCATAATTTATAAAAGAACAACCTAAAGCAGACTTGTCCAATTTAAATCGTTGACGCAATCATTTGCTTTATGCTAAAAGCTGCTAATTTTTTTTAGTGTGTCATACCTCGTATAGAGAAGTCGGTTGCTTCTCGTTGACTAATCTTAATGTGTCACGCGTCCTTAAACCAGATTTGTCACGCGAATGTATCGATTTGGCTCGCATAGCTGGAGACCTATTATGCAGCTCTTTTTGAGAACCCGAGTGCTCGTCTCTGGCTAATAATACCGACATACGGAATTCGGGAGTCGGACAAGCGATACTACTGGATCTGGCCGATACATCGATCTCTTTGGCGGATATATGTTTTGAAACTGGAGTACGTTCAGCCGAACTATAAACATAAATATATTTATCATATGAATCATTTATATAATATACAATTGATACAAACCGATTTAAAGTTTCTGCGGCTTGAATGGCACTTGCCGTATCTGTATCAGGAGTATCCGGAGATTCTGGCGCGATGATGGCAGTTCGTGGAGTATAAGGTCCATTTAAAGCTTCAATCAAAGATACCGCTTCATAGCCTGATGGGATATTCTCGCAACTTCCCTGGAATAATTATTTCAAGGATTTAATGATAATAACAAATATGAAAAAAATATTTTTTAGAAATTAATTAAAATCACTGAATATATTTAAATAAAAAATAATAAATACTTGTAGGAATTATCTGACTCACCTCTGGTAATGGCGGATTGGATATAATTGTACCGGTTGCTTTTTGAAGAGCCTTAATTTGCAAAAGTGCTCTGAATGGCGCACGGCATATTGGACAATTGTTTGCTTGATATCTTAACGAATCGGCACAAGAGTTACACAGACATAAGTGTCTACATGGTAAAATTAACGTATCGCGTACTTCGCTCATGCAAATAACGCACTCGGAGCCATTATCTTCAGTATCTTCATCACTACCTTGTTGCTGTATAAAAGCGAAAGAGAAATAAAAATGAATTTCTAAAATCTTTCATTTCTTCTGTGAAATTCAGTAAAAATATTTCAAATTTTTGTATCAACAAGATCAAATAATGAAGTGTAGATGCCTAAACTAGAAATCACTTAGCCACGAATATTCTTCCATATAAAGCAAAGATATTACTTTTTCTTTATACATAAAAAAATTATATATTTAAGTACTAAATATCTCAACTCTAAACATTTGTTTAAGATCATTAGATTTTTACTACATTTCATGGGAACTGAAGAAAGAATATTTTACAGGAATTTATCTGGAAGAAAACACATACATGCATATTTGAAATTATCTATTCTATCGAATGTCATCATATATTCTCATACCTTGGCATTTTCAGTATTTTTATTCTCAATTCCATATATCTCTTGTAATAAATAGCAAAGACCATCCACATAAAGTTTTTGTTTAAGTGCTTTCAATACATATGTTCCATCGGAATGCTTTTCAACTACAGCTATGGTTGTGTGAGATTGTTTTGGATCGTCCGATCCTTCCTCTGCTACACAATGTATAGCTATTGGAATTATCTACAATAAAAAAGACACTTTAGTCTTGAAAATATTACAATAAAAAAGACACTTTAGTCTTGAAAATATTATTCTTATTAAATTTTATTAAGAATAATGACGTAAATACTTCTCTATCTGCATTGTACATCAGATCTTCTTCACTATATAATGTTGGATCAAATATATGTGTTGTTTGTGAAAACAATTGATTTGCTCCTTTTTTATAATGATATGTTTCAGAATTCATCAATGGATCTCGTGGTATATATCTACATACAACAAAACAATTTGTTGTCACTGTTATGTTTTTCTATTGTAATAATTCTTAATACATTGTACATACGCAACTCCCTTCGTTGAAACTTCTTCTGTACAAAAATAATATATTGTTATTGCACATCTCACATCACAGTCAAAAACAAACTCAATGTTGAAACGATTAGGTTTTTTGTCAATATCACTATCACCATAATGCTTGACATTATGATAATGCGAAGATGTTGATGTTTGATCCATATTGCGGACTAATCTCAGAGATTCTTTACGTATGTTTACCAAGCTTTTCAGTGTTTTTGTAGGATCATTGGCTTGTGGTGGAGGATATGGAAACTGAAATAAGAATAAAAAGTGTTAAATCACTGATGTTACTGTAGAATATATAAAAAATATATCTGTAGTTCTATATATAATAAATCTTCAAACTATAAAAATTTTGATAATAGATGGAAAATAATTTTATATCATGCAATACTCGTACAGGAGTTGGTCGGCTGCCCAAAAAATTTAAATCTGCATTCTCTCCGAAAAGATATGCCTCAGGTTGAGGTGTGTCAAATCGCTCACCGCCCATTATAAAATGACTACCGAAATAAGATCCTGTTGAGAATTTGCAGATTAGTAAGATGATAACAAAAAGAGGAGACGCATCACGCGTATTTTATGTAAAACGAGGTTTTGCAGAATTAAAATGAACCAAGTACCGGATCGTGGAGGATATTTATACGCGTGGTTTGAAGTAATATCAACTTCTTCAACGCCAGCATTTTGTCTGCTTGTCAACGATCCCATTTTGTAATTGTTTGACGATCACGATGCACGTTAAATGACGAATCTACAAATGTATGTCGCGTGTTCCGTTTGACAGCGATCAGCAAGAATGTGCATATACGTGTATATAAAGATCTGCAATTGTGAGCGGTCGAATTGTCGTAAATTATTACATTGACGTACATACATCCATACGTAAAATCGAACCAACTTTGTCGCTTCTATCAGTCTGTTATTAATAAAAAGTAAAAATAAAAAGGAACACGCAAGAGGGACAGTGATATCGCGATAGTCTTTCCTTCTTCTTGTTCGTGAATCTAGGGTGCTTTCCATTTAGTGACACAAGTCGACACAAGTATCATTCTATCTTTCTTGGCTTTCAATGATTAACAAGGACAAAATGATATTTGTGTCGACTTGTGTCACTAAATGGAAAGCACCTCTAATCGTCTGGTCACTCTCGTTGCTCTACTAGACTGCGTTCCAAAACCCCACTCTAAATAGCGGAACCTTCGCCTTCGCCGTTTCAAAATATGAAGTTATCAGTAAATAAATAAAAAACCAATAAAAAACATATTTTTATTGTGAAGAGCAGTGCTTTCTCCAACTAGTCACGTGATTATTCCCTCTCCAAGTTAGCGGGTAAGCGGAATTCCCGTTGATTTTCTCTTGCGACTGTCATTCACATTCCTTCGATTCCTCGGAGTCCGTTGGCTGGAATTCGCCGCAACGCCTGAGATAGAAAAAAGATCAAGCCATGTGGGAGGATAAACACGAAGATTTGAGAGGCAGAGGGGTTTCGTGATATAAACCATATGTCATTGAGTTGAAAGTAGTTAAAAGTTATTGTCAGAGATCTTGGACGAAGAAAAATAGAAAGGCAGTGGTATAAATTGAATCAATCTTTGTTTTTTTATACGAAAAGATATCAATTGAATGTATTTTTATTAAAATATAAAAGGAAAATTAAATTTACTTAAACATTATAAATTATTTCAAACAAAAGAGGCAGAAAATGGATATGAAAGTGGAAAATGATCCCATTGTTAAAGAGGTTAGTATTTTATTATTTTTAATTTCTCTGTTCTATTCTTGACAAAATTGATTAAGAATTATTTAATCAGATTCTATTTTCCTTAAATATTTAATTAAAATTTTAATTTCAATCTAATGACATATAATATTTATATAACTTTTATAGTTTTTTTAATTCAAATATATTATGTTTTTTGAAGCAAGAAATTAAATCTGTTCAAAATTATCACTTTTGTCATGTATAATATATTTTATAATATATTATACATATTATAATATATTATATATATTTTATATATATATATATTATAATCATATTTAAACAGAGACATTCAGACATTTTTTTATTGTTTACATAATACAAATAAACTGCCACTGTTTGCTTTTCACAATGTAAATAATAATTGGAATTATTTATATAGATACCAGTATTCCTCTCGAAGACTTTGGCTGAGAAACTGTTTGTTATACAGTATCCTATATATGTCAAAAATGGTTATACTAAAACTATATTCTCAAAAACTTCCATTAAGCCTGAAAATCAGAAAATTTGTCTAGAAATCACAATGGATACACTGAATGAACATTCTTATGATCATAATACTGGAAAACAGTTGGCTTTCAATAAAAATAAAAAATCAACAGAAGAAGATAATGAAAATACATTTGATAAGTAATTATAAAATTTTATATAATTTTACAGATTAATAATTATAGATATCTATGAAAATTTATTTTTTTAATAAAAAGCATAAAAAGAATGCTAATATTTTTATAATGGGAGTACATGATGTACATACATATATACATTATATATATATATATATATATATATATATAGAGAGAGAGAGAGAGAGAGAGAGTGTGTTCTATTTTATGTTTTGTCTTGAATATTTCAAAAATATGAAAGATACAGAAAATATTTTAAACAAAAGTTGTAGGGTACAAAAAATGAAGTTGATATTTTCTACTTTATATCACAATACTCCAGAATAAAATATAAAATATCTCAAACTGTTGACTTTTGGCATTTTAATATTTTTATATCAAGAACTAGATGAGTCATATAACTAAAAGTATATAATTCATTTATTTAAAAGATAATGACCATAATTTATTTTATTAGTGGTCTGATGGATAAGCTCGTGTTGACTTCAGAGCGGGCATTACCAGATTGCTCAAATTTTGCAGTTGGGGTCTTTCAAGATGACGAGTTACATATTACACCATTGAAGGGGATGTTGCATATGAAGTTGCAATGCGATTATCTAGATGAAAATGACAAACATGTCAGAGATGAAAAAACAGATATAAGAGAAGGTAAAAATCAATTTCTATTTGCTAACTTATACAATTAATATATTTATCTAGATAGCTTGCGTTGAACCTTTAGAGCTGGTATATACAAACGAGAAACATTCACAAATTTATTTATTTATTAAAATGTAGACGATACTGAGGAAGAAAATAGTGCCACACCAGTGCAAGTAAAATTTGTTAAGCATCTATCAGACAATCTGAAAAAGAAACAGGAGCAATCTTTCCATTATCATAACAAACAAATAGAAGAAGAACGTTGGATACATACAAATTATATATTGCCTGATGATATCCTAGCTAAGGTATTAATATAAATTTTTTTAGAAGAAAAATATGATTAACATCATTACTGTATTTGAATTCCAGAAAATCTTATAAGTCTCATCTTTTATTTCTTTATACATTTTGAAATGTAATATATTAAAATGTCAAGTGTATCTTGTACATAATAACTAATATATTAAAATGTCAAGTGTATCTTGTTTAATTTTGCAGTTGACACGGATGGAAATGTTCTGTCCATCGATCGAAGAATCAATGAATCCAAATTTGTCTCAGAAACATTATTTGCATATATTAGTACCACAATTACCTAAGGTACGCAATTTACTTCCAAGAATCAGATAAACTTTTGTTATCATGACTTTATCTTTATTAGACCAAATTAGAAAGATAAGGGAAGTTATTCTTAAACACATATACATGTATATATGCATTTACATATTTAAAAAAATAAATAAAGAATAAAATTTAATGTATAATTTTTTAAAATTATTTATGAATATTGTATATGTATTTAATTTATAATTAAACATTAAATAGATAATCTAAGAATATAAGGTATGTTACATTATATAAGTGTTTTTTCAAAAACTTAAAACTAGTGAGAAAGTTTTTTGCAGTTTTTATGATTTATTGACGTCTTTTAAGTATATATCGATACTGACCTCTCAAAGGCCGAAGCAGAAAGACATAATAAAGTAATCATATAATCGTAGTCGTAACCATAATCATAATTGCGCGCATACTGAATTGGTGAAGAATATGTATTACGACTCTATTAGTGTCGGTCCACAATAAATATTTAATCTTTAAGTCGTAAGAAATTGACCAATCATAGTCGATTATTCTTTTCATATTCGATTATAATTGGTCAATTTCTTACTTCTTAAAGCTTAAATCACCTATTGTGGACCGACACTAATAGATGATTTAAGCTTTCTTATGACTTAAAGATTAAATACTTATTGTGGACCGACTAACCAGTCTTAAAATAAAGGCTATGGTCTACTTAGCTCTACAAAAGTTTCGAAAGTTTGATTAATCAATCAGAAAGAATTTTATAAATTGACCAATCAAAAAATGCTTCAAAGTATTGTATGTAGCATCAAGTGGACTGCACCTATTAATCGACTATAAACACCGGCCATTATCCGTTATCTACTGAGAAATTTGTGAACATTACATAGTTTATATTCACGTTCATGGACATAAAGGCGCTTTGAAATAAAATTCTATTAAAAAAGTCTAGTTACTTAAAGTCTAATTAAAGACTAGTTACTTTTCGTAGTATGGGAATTATTGGCAGCGCGTGTTTTTAGGGGATTGATTGTGTATCTTGAAATGAGGTGGAAATTAGGAGGAAATTTACTTAGAGTATTTGCACCTTCATACATTTAAATGTAGTTTTTCATACATTTAAATTTCCTTACTTCTGTAATTTTCATCTTGTTTCAAGCTACACAATTAACTTCCAGTATTATTTATATATCGATATTATGCAGTGCCGATAAATTGGAAAAGAAAAAGATTTACAAAATATCAAAATAATGCCGAAACGTGACAATTCTATCTTGTAAATAACATTAGATTTTTTTATACAAAGTAAGTATTTCATTAGGTTCTTTCTTTGTATTTTGATGATATTTTTATTCGACACCTTTTTGTGTAAAAATAAATAATATTAAGAATTAATAACCATTAGTTGGCATTGTAAAGAAGTAATTAAGTATGAAGGATAATATCTTTTTAAGATTAAGAGATCCATTATCAAACTCTATAATGAAAACTTGAAATAAATATTTACCTAAATGTAACTTTTTAGAATTTTTTAAATTAAATATTTAATAGTTATATCTTCCATTATTTAACATGTTGTTATTTTTAAGAAAAGCTTTTGCTTTTATTATATTTTTTTTAATTAAAAGGATATTTAGAAGATTATGATGTTATATGATATGTACATATGAAATTTATAGTGCATACGTTAATAAAATCCTGTATTACTTACTTAATGACTGATGCAAAACAAAAATGAGTACTCGAGTATTAAATGACATTCATAATGATTTAAAACGACTTATAACAGCACTTACATCGTTTGAGGTATGTAATCAAATCATATGAATAAGAGAACAATGATATTTTACAAAATATAAATTTATATTCAGGAAAGTGAAGAAGGTTTTCGAATATGTGAGCGGTTTTGTTTATCAAATATCAAACATCATCGATACCTATCTATTGATAGTCATGCAACTAAGGAAGCAATAAATGCAGTGATTACCAAATTTTCAATTCATGGAAAATATGAAGTTGCTAAAAAGTTTGAGGAACTGGTCAATTCCTTTCTATCAAGTTTTGATTTTGAACAGCATCCTCAATATGATTTGCAGTGGTATTTGTTAACATTTTTATTGGATCTATCCACTGAAACTCATAAATCTAATTTAGATAGCTTGAAACTCACACGTGGAGAACACAGTTTTAATGCAGCCACTGGAAATGAAGATAGTGTTACTGAAGAGATAGATTGGGTGCAGTATCTAAGAGAGGGTCAAGAGAATTTCTTTTCTGATTATAAAAGTGATGATAATGAAAGTGTAGGTATTTATACAATATTTTATAAAATTATCATTTAGAAAGTTTCTAATTTTTATATTGTAGGAATGGTCTGATTTAACAGAAGACGAAGGGACTGATGAAAATGATATTTCTTTACCAGTACAGATATGTGATCAATTAGATATTGTACAGCCTCTAAAAATTTCTGATACAACAGATAAATTCTCTCTAGCATTAATACAAAATCTTGAATCTAGAAAGTGGCTCTTATCAAATGTCCAGACTGATTGGTGGAACAATCTAAAATGTCAAAAATATCCTATTGTCAAAAGATCTTGTAATACTGATATATGTGATATTTGGTATTTTCTTTTTTAATTAAATTATTTCATAATAAAAAATGATAATTATATACATGATAAATATGCTTACAGGCATGAAATAAATTTGTCAGCTTCAATAAACAAAATAGCTACTCTCAGTGAATATCAAGTGTGTAGAGAATTGTTATGGATGTTTTATGTTCAAACGCCAATGGTGATATTTCAGCAGGAAAATGATTCTAAATTCTCAGTATGTTCCGGTATATCTATACCAAGTTTAACTACTGTACGTATAGTCACACAATTAATTTTTATTTAAAAATTTTTTTGTATAATCTTTTATATATAATATTACATAGAATTATTTTATTATATCTGAAATATATATATATATATATATATATAATTTTTTCAGACTGCCTTTAAAAGTAGCCTGTCACCATTTTGTGAATATTTTTCAATGATACGTGATATTGAAAAGTTTGGAACTGATTTGCAACCTATTTATAATCAAGAATCAGAACTTCAAAGTCCTCCTTTTACTTATGAAGCATATAATGCTGCATTAAAACAATTCTTGTTTGAGTTTAAGACCGAAGTAATTAAAATGGAAAAGAATGTAATGAAACAAGGTAAGATCGCACATTGCATTAATTCGTTGCTATTATAATTTTATTATATATTTATTTATTTATTAATATATTGTATATTCCAGAAAAATGCAATACATTATTATCTTTATCAGCTAATCTGAAAAAATATTTAAATACTATAAAAATACTTTATGATATACATCAAAATGTTGTAACCGATTGGAAAGTTAACCCTAATTGGAAATGTGCATCTCGACTATTATCATCTTTATATTATGAAATGCAAAATTCTTATAGCCGAGAAAGGACAAATATTTGTACAAATTTGTATCTATGTAGTCTTACTATTTACCTTAACATAATTGATACATGGCTAAGTGAAGGACGATTAGAGGATTGGCGAGATGAATTTATGATTGTAAGGTACAAATATCTGTGCATATGCGTGTGCGTGAACAATTAAGAATTCGAATTAAATTAATTATATACATTTATATTAAAAGTTTATTGTTATTAGGGCTATGGAGGATGAAAATGATGAACAAATTGAAAAATTTAGAGTTCGATTGTTTGATATTTGCTTGACAGATCCAATTATGCAATTCTTATTGCAAAAAGTGCAACATATAGGTCACAGTATTGAATTACTTGTCTCTTTAGATCGAATTGCTGATATATGGAGAATGGACAATGAGAATAATGGTCTCTGAATATGATATACAGATATCTTTACTTTATATTAATTTTATGTTGTAAACTTATATATTTTATCATAATTTATTACAGACATAAGGATTTCATTAAACACTGAATTACAAAATAAATTATTATTGGAAATATCTAAATATAATCCTTCAATAGAAGAAACAGATACTGCGTTGCAAATAGATAAAATATCATTGCAAGAATATGATGCTGATATTGAAAAGAATATAATACAACAATTATCGAATTCATCAAATCCATTTTTATAAAAGCTATGGAAGACTATATCCCATGTGAATTATATAAAAACGATACAGTAGATGCTCCTGTGCGCAATACGCACAACTCTAAAAGGAAGCAAAACCAAATACATAACTTATATAAAGAGTATATATAGCTATATATTTATATAAAGTTATTAGATCAGATAATTTACACAATAGAATAATATATAACATACATTTTTTGTAGATTACAAAAGATAAGGTACATCTTGCCGATGAAAAACATTTTGAAGAATACATTGTCTGAGATTTTAATTTTACGCTATAATAGCGCCAGCAAGTTAGTGAAAAATATTATGATTGAAGAATACAAGCTGCAGACGCATTTAAAGTTATTGAGACAAGTTTATATGATGGAAGCTGGACACGTAATGAATAAATTTTATCAAGTATTGTTTTACGAGGTAAATAAAAAATATTAGCCTATTATATAATAATATTCTTTTATATTTAATGTAACACAATTATTTATTTTAGATTGAAAATAACCAAATGTGGGCTAATTCATATTTTTTATCGTGTATTCTTGAAGAGATACTTTTTCAATATTGGCCAGATTCAAGTTCACGCTGGTCAATTACAGTTCATGGCAATATTAATACTCATCAAGTATTACAAGCTATAAATAATGTAACATTGCATTATACAGTAGAATGGCCTATAAGTATAGTGTTGACTAAAAAAGTCTTGGAAAAATACAATGAGATATTTAGATTTCAATTAAAATTAAAATGGGCATTATGGACATTAAATAATTTAAAATTTTATGGTAAATAACAAATTTGGTTTAAGGTACAATATTTTGAGGATATTTATATTATTTCATTATTTTTTTTTTTTAGATCTAGAGGATTCTAAATTGACGTATATAAAAGATAGAGTGGCACAATTTCACATAAGACGCCTTGAAAGTTTGAAATTTTGGTTGTTACATGCTATAGGATCTATACATACATACTTGTCTGGTCAAGTATTACAGAGCCTAGGTTTTGTACTGGAGAAAATTCTATCTCAGGCGGATAGTCTCGATACTATTATATCAGGTAATATAGTAGATAAATTATCTGAACAGATAGAAAAATTTTATTAGTGTAGCTGTAAGATAAAAATGTTTTTTCTAAGAAAAACATGGATATGTGATAGTTTTAATAATGTAATAATTTTAACAAACATAACAAACACCACTTTACAGTACATAATGAATATTTGGACAAAATTCACAAGCATTGCTTATTGACAGAGGAGTTTGAAGATTTAATGGCAACTATAAATAATGTATGTATTGCGCGATTATATGATAAAACAAATTTATATAAAATTTACTTATTTAATTTATATAGAAAGTATAAATATATATAGAAAATATTTATATAGAAAATATTGATCGTTCTAATGTTATATTTCAGATGATTGAAATGTGTGTTCACATACGAGACCGATGGTCATGCAAAAAGTTATTGTTAGCTGCTACAGAGTTGGATGTAATGGAACAAAGTTACATAAAGTATCATACATATCTTGCTTTAGCGTTGCACAATGCTATACAACATAAGGATGCAGATTATTGTAAGTTTTATAACTTATTAGCAGTTCTTGATGTATTTCAATATAGTTATCCACGATTTTACAGTTTAAGCGATCATTGATAAATATTATCAAAACCAGTTATAATGTTAAAGACAAAAAGATTATATTGTTATTTTTTTGAATCAATCATTCAAAGATATATAATGTAATGATCAATATGCACTGATTTGTCAATTTTTGAATATATATCATATACTCGGGAAATATTAACTCATAGATGTCAAAAAAGATAAATTCATTATTGCATGATAATTAACAATATCGCTTCTCATATAACATTCTTCCCTTGCTTTATTTACAGTGACTGCCTTAAGTTCAGCCTTTAATTGCAGTATGCCATGTACTTAATTTTATAGTGTCAATATGTGCCGATTTAACAACCAGTGTATACCCTGATTTTTCCATTTGAGATTAACAACATATCAATTCCATTTCATATTTATATCAATTATGCTTTATACTACAATAATTATATGTGTAGTATTTAGCTGTTATTCCATTAGATCGATGGATTATCACTTTTCGCTAATATTTAATATTAATTTTTTAGACTAATTATTTTTTAGATGTAAATTTGTTACGCAAAGATCTGTAATATTTACAACATAGAATATTATATATTTATTTTTTTAAATAATTGTTTTGTTATATATAAAATCGAAAGAAAAATATGTTACTTTATTTTTTTTAGAATAAAAACTGTATATAAAATTAAACTGATCATTTTCCTGAATGATTATCAGTATAACTATCCAAGATGTCAACTTCCTATTTCCCTAATCCCTTCCAGACAAATTGATGCCAGCGTCTACAGCCTGCATTGGTGACAAGTCGTTTAAAGATAATAATAAATTCATTAAATTTATTACTGATCTTAATCGAACCTTATTAATGGAAATTGCACATCAGAGTTTACCACCCTCAGGCATTCTTCTACCAGTCCCCAAATTAATTAATGGAAGAGCTTGGAAATTGAGGTAAAAAACATAATTGATGTATAAATATTTATAATTATTAATTCAAAATTTTAGTCTAGAATCCTTGTTGTCTCTTGAAATATCCTTGAATGAATATGAGCAAACATTTTCTTATATACGCTGGTATCGATGTAAGAAACAATATTTTACTTTAAATTCATTATTATATACGTTACATGATGAGATGAAAGATGTCGCGAATTCGTAACATTGTAAGAAATATCTCAAGATAATATGTATAAAAATAAAGATATATTCTATAAACATAAGCACACACATACATATATGTATATACTGCCATATATTTAATCAAAATACATAAGGAAAGCAATAGCTGATAACACATGCATTCCAATTTTCTATGTAACAAATATGAATTACGTTATCGTAATTTGAGATTACAATTTAAAAATATGAAATCATTTTATATATACGCGTTCGTGTTTGAGAGATTATAATTAACTTATATAAAAGTTATTCTTTATATAAAAGATATATTTTTATGTGTTTAATAATATATTATAAAATGTATAATATAGAGAAGGAAAAAAAGAATGTTCTTGAGACATATTTGCAAAAAAGATTTCCAAATAAGTAATAATAAAATTAATATTAAGATCTTTTATATTACATTCACCCAGTAAATTCTATACAGACTGCACACAAAAATTAACTTTGCGCTATCACAATGGTACCATTTTGTCCAATAGTTCCAGTTTGTGATACTGTTGGAGCATTCGATGTTTCATTCGTACTAATTGGGGAAGATGAATGATTATTTGCATTTGTCGCAGCTAATGCTTTGTTTCGCAATTCGAATACTTGCTGTATCGCTTTGCGGAAACAGAGAAAATTATAATCGATCACACCTATAAATTAGAAAGACAAATAAAAATAATAATCTAATCTACATTATCTCATTATTACACTGTTATGTGAAAAAATCGTTTTAAATATGTGATACTAAAATAATAATTTTCACCTTGTCTATCAAAGTTATCCTCTCGTAAGATGCAAACCAATGCTAAGAATTTATTTACTTCACGCAAATACAAGATCGTACCGTTATTTAATTTGATTAAACTGGAGCTTTGGTTGTCGAACGCGGCAGCTTCTAAATCCTCTCTCAATCTGGAATATGAATATGAAAGAAAATACAAGCAATATTTATTAAAAATATGTGTGCAATCAAAATATGATTATTTACCCATATATGCAAGAAACGTCAATAACAACATCGATCATATCACAACATAGTTCATAACTTTGCATATCAACAGGTGAGCTATCCGTTGCTATATATATTTTTGAAACAACATCAAATAGGAATGCCTTCTCAATTGCTGAATTCTGTGGAATACAATTGTTGTAAACAATATTCTTGAATGTCTATTATCATTGTAAAGAAAAAAATAAGTTTTTTTTAATTTTATTACCGATATGAGTATATTGAGTAAATTTTCTAATGTAGGCAGCTGTGGTATTAACTTCTGAACAACTTTGCTAAATGCTTCAAATATACTATGATCATAGATTGAAGTCAAATGAAAACTTAAGTGTATTTGGTCACATCCTGGAAGAAAAATGTAAAATGACTAAGAGAAAAAGAAATTTGTTTTCTTTAGACTTTCATCTCCAAATCTTTACCAGCGTCCGCTAAATCGTCATTAGCTCTTGTATGTATATCTCTTTGAGTTTCCATTTTACAGTCGTCCGACAATCCATCTACCTTATGGATAAAAACTTCAAACTTAATAGCTTGATTGACCTTATTTGCTTTTGTGACTGTTCCATGAAGTTTATTGAGTGCCTCCATGTAATCATCTTGTGCATCTATCACAAATACCAGTGCACCACAACCACCAAATATCATGTCACTGTCAAATGTAGGATCAAAGAAGTCAATTTGTCCAGGAAAATCCCATATTTGAAATTGTACAAAGCTGGAATTACTAATATCATCTTTAATTATTTTATTTGTACTTTCTAAGAATAGTGTCTCATTGGGTGACATCTTATGAAAAACCACTTTTTGTATTGATGATTTGCCACTACTAAAAAGTAAAAGAAAAAAAGTGTCAAGAAATAATCATTGACTCGAAAAATTATTTATGCTACAAAGAGCATTATCTTACCGTCTAAGACCCATCAGAAGTATTCTAGGCTTTTGTTCTCCAGCTAGTGGATCCATAGATCCCTCAGTGTCTCCATCAAATGGTGCATATCCAAAATCTTTTGGAAAAGATCCACTTTGATAATGATCATCATAACCACTTTGATAATGATCATCATCATCCTGCAATAATGTTACAAAAGGAATATCATAAAGACTTGAAACTTAAAATGATCATATTGATGACCTAATTCTCAAACGTCATTGTTACTCCAGATGTCACACATGTTACAATTCTTATTTTCATTATGTGCATACCCAAAGATAATATTCGAACAATGTTATATGCATATATATTTTATGTGTTAGTAATATATTTAATTAATCGCCATTTCTCTTCGAGATACAGATATTTGATTAGAGATAACTCGCGATCGCCCACTTACCATGTTTGTAAGATTGAATAATTTTTATGTCAAGATTCCCTGACCGTTCTCTCAGAGGATTCAAGATTTAAAGAACGTCGCACTTATACCCTTATATCTAATTCAATCGTGATTGCACATCGTAGAAAATTATATAGCATACAAAGTCGAATAATATCTTTGTTTACAGTTTGCCATAGGGGTGTGATGATATAGTGCTCCTTTGATATAACTATATATCAATCGGCGTTCTGATTGGTCTTCAATCAACCAATGAAAAGCTAGAAAAGCATCCATAGACATATAAATATGTGACGAAGTTACAAATATGAAAAATCTTTTTTATATGTTATAATATTCAAAATTTTAAAAAGTATTTAAAGGCATTTCAAATAATTTAGTGATCCCTTGTAAATCATTTTAAGTAATTATTTTTTTCTATGTAAAACTCATTGATGTAATTTCATATTACGGCTGATTTCTAACAAAAAAACATATGCAGCACATTCACACATGGTTACACTTTTTGCACTCAAGTTTCTCACTCTCTTTTCCTCCATCACCTATCTCACCTCAGATGATTTAAAAAATTGGTGATATATATAT